CTAATAGATATAGCATGAAGGTTAAATATGCGTATATACAGACAGATAATTAAGAAAGCTCTTAATTTTTAAGTGATCACATATGAGATCACTGATAGATAATGGGTTAATAGGGGAACGGTATCGATTGGGGCACGGCAGCTTAAAGGACAGGATAAAGGCGGTAACGGGTTTGCAATGAGGAGAAATTTACCTGCCCACCATCATCGCTCGAGTGAGCTGATTTGTTTGGCAGTGGATTAGACCACATTACACCCGTATCTATCCCCGCTTTCCTACACATAAGCGTAACCCTAACCTAAACCCAAACCGTATCCTCTTAAGGCGCTTCAACACTTTATCAGTGGATGAAATCTGCGTTGTTGTAGGAGCCCTGATAAGAGTATTATAGTTCAATCCAGTTACCAACAGCGAAACAATTTTTCCTTGTAGCCTACTTAGTTTTAAAACACAGTTGAGTCTTGTCTGCACACAAGGAGAATGATTGTACTTTTGCCCGTTTTTAGGATTGTTTATGGCTCTCTTTTATTATCCGGTAAACGAGTTCAGTCCTTTAAGCCTTGTACAGTACAATTCCGGATTGTATAACGTGCATCGTCGGTGGGACTCTGTGATTGCAAGGGAGTCGGAAATATTGTATTGCATGCCAGTGTCGATCACTTTTTTTGTGCACCGGTGCGCAACTGGGCAACTGCAAACTACTGTAGTCAGAAAAGCCATCACCACTCAATGAACAAAGGTCTCGGGTTCGAATCTTGGGGATTGCCACCCCTGGAATTGGGTATGACTGACTGATGACGGCTGGCAAGCCCGAAACGGCCATTCCGGCCTCGCTTGGTTTTTTTGGTTCCGTTTAAACAAAGACGACACTTCAACAGCAAGCACCTCCTGTCTTACAATCGTGGCTGCGTGCGCACTATTTTGCAAAGAGTTGAAACACATTGCAAAATTTTGTCTGACAAAACAGCTGAACTACAATATCTCCCTGACCTTTTTGGAGCTAATGAGCGAAAATTAGAAGTTAACCGTCATTCAAGTGAAGGAAACTGGCTTGGTTTCGAAGGAGCCATTACTAGCTATGAAAAAATTGCTGATGCCTTTGATGCGACGTCACTGTCTGCCTGCGTGCCTGGTCAATTCAAAACTTGGTTCGACACCGTGAGTAAGTGGTTCTGCGATCGTTGGCAGGTGTCTGTCGCTAGAATAGAGAATGGGTCGAGCTCCCCAGATCTTCTGTCGCGGATTGACAGGCAGGCCGGTGTACGATCGGCCACATCCTCGAAGCCGGCCACATCAGACATGATCATCACTGAACCGCATACAAGTACATGATGCAGACGCAAGATGTGGTGAAACGAGTACTGCCTTTACTTCCTGAACTTCGTGTACTCTCCCGGCAAGAATACAGACTGCACTAGGCACCAATTCTTAATTTGGAAAACTTCTAAAACAAAGTTTTAAAATAGCACTTATGACAGCTGGGATGTCTGCGGAGATGATAGAAACATGCAAGTTTTCGAGCGGTTTAAACTATTGCCTTTTTTCATGCATAAACCCCACAAGCGGAATCATTTCGTGGATCTTAAAAGGTTCTGATCAATTGGAAAGGTACAATAAGCACTTAATCGGGCCGAGTATACAGGGCTGCCTAAACGATTGAGGGGTAGAATCGCCTATTTACAGTTTCTTAAGCCGGTCAAGCTACTTTGATGCTAGGCACAAATAAGTAGCATGCTTGAAACCTTCCTTTCGGTAGCTCTCGTTTCGAAGAAGTCCAAAGGCGACTTAGTACTCAGCAGATCATGACCGTGAAAATTTTTTTCAGTTTTCAAACGACCATTGCAAGAATGATGGGGAAAGACTAGGTAAAAAGCACAACTGACGCAAACTTACCTTGAGATTGCGCGCAAAAAGGCTCTGTATGAGATGAAAAACGACGACTTCAGGTCGATTAAAGATCTTTACAATGACATCTTCCGCTTCCGACAACGTGTCCGGCAGCGAAGAAAAGTCTTTCAAGTCAGAAGGCAAGGTCTTAAGGAAGAGAAAAAGATTGGTTTTAATAAACGAATAAGCAAGCAAAGCTTGAACACTGATTGGTTTGCCAGTACAAGCGAACATGCGAGTCCCAGGATGATGGGAGACGTTTACCCTTCGTGAGGCTTCAACCTATTCGCAGATCCGGTTTCTGCACAGGTTTCTTAACAATAACGTGTTGCCGAAGAATGTTAGATAAAAATCCCCGCTATACA